TGCTTTTTTTCAAATTTGCTAGTTTTAAAAGTACTCATAACTCCAGAATTTGAGCTTGGAATCGGCTCAAACTTTCTACACAGCATAAGTACATCAATATGCATCAGAAAATGTAATAAAAATTTGGGGTGATTTCTGAGCCATTTTTTGGAAAAAACCATGGGCTATAGTCCATGCTTTTTTTCAAAATTTGCTAGTTTTAAAAAAGTACTCATAACTCCAGAATTTGAGCTCGGAATCGGCTCAAACTTTCTACACAGCATAAGTACATCAATATGCATCAGAAAATGTAATAAAAATTTGGGGTGATTTTGGAGCCATTTTTTGCAAAAAAAACCATGCGCTATAGTCCATGCTTTTTTTCAAAATTTGTTAGCTTTTAAAAAGTGCTCATAACTCCAGAATTTGAGCTCGGAATCGGCTCAAACTTTCTACACAGCATAAGTACATCAATATGTATCAAAAAATGTAATAAAAATTTGGGGTGATTTCGGAGCCATTTTTTGGAAAAAACCATGGGCTATAGTCCATGCTTTTTTTCAAAATTTGCTAGTTTTTAAAAAGTGCTCATAACTCCAGAATTTGAGCTAGGAATCGGCTCAAACTTTCTACACAGCATAAGTACATCAATATGCATCAAAAAATGTAATAAAAATTTGGGGTGATTTCAAAACCATTTTTTTGGAAAAAACCATAGGCTATAGTCCATGCTTTTTTTTTCAAAATTTGCTAGTTTTTAAAAAGTGTTCATAACTCCAGAATTTGAGCTCGGAATCGGCTCAAACTTTCTACACAGCATAAGTACATCAATATGCATCAGAAAATGCAATAAAAATTTGGGGTGTTTTCGGAGCCATTTTTTGGAAAAAAAACCAAAAGGCTATTAACAATAGAATACAATGTTCATTCAATTACTTCATCATTGTGTATAGTCCGTGTTATTAGTAAAGGAAAATTATCTTTAACTGATTTGTGTATACGAGAACGAACCTTCTTGCTATCATAACAACCTAAAATAATAAACAAACAAATAAATAAAAGATATTGTCTTTTATAAATAATCATCATTAACATTGCCATCATGATAAAAACAAACAAACTACAGTACAGGTACCTAAGTCAACTGTTTCAAATAAAATTGAAGACTGAGCATCAGACATCTCCTCAAACTTTCTTGACAGATCACTTAACTCTAACATCTGCTTCTCTGCCAGTGGATTAAAATCATCGTCATCTTCTTCATCATCAGTATCTTCTTCTACTGGAGGAGGGGGAGGCTCAGGAGACACTTGTTCGTTTGAAGTTTGGTTGTCAACGGGTGGATCCAGTATAGGACAGTCTTTGTTTATTGTTACTAGTTCTCCATTTTTATCAATTTCAGTGACAATGAAATCGCCAGGACTGATAGGAAACAAAAGAGAGAAAATGATTATTATTTTTACTGTAAAGATTATAAGTGAGAATT